CCGATATGCGATATATTGACTGATGTATGATCTTTTTTTAAGTTTGATATGCGATTCGTATCGGTCAGTTTACATTAATTTTGTCCGAATCCGTTATACCGCGATCGATATCGCGATCGTGACCGATACTGCGAATTACGAGTGGGACACGTTCTAGATGCAATTTTATTATTATTATTTTTATAACAAAACTAAGAAATACATTTTTTATATTTTTGTATTATATCAAATTTTAAAATAGTAAAATTGTCTGAGAGCATGTTAGGAATACTTGGGGTTTCGAGGTAAGAGGCCCAACTCAAGACCTCATGTATGACCTGAAAAAGCATTGCCGCCATTTGAGATAGGAATATTGGCATTTGTGCACTTGACAAAATACGCTTATAAATTGTTGGGTTAATTACACTCACACCCCCTGAGGTTTGCCTTATTGACAGCCAGATGAAAGATAGCCATTTTTTGAACAATGACACCCCAAAGGAGTAAAATGTCTACATTGCCTTTTAATATTTTATTCATATTTAATCTAAAATATCAAAATCACTAAATTACCGAAATGCCCTTTTTTTTAGGAAAAAAGAAAATTAACTCACCTACCTACTTTCTCTCTCTAACATCAATATCCTCCAACCCACCATCACCACAACTCACGTCTGCCACCGCCACCGCCACCGCCAAAACCTCCACCCACAACCACCACCTCCAACACCGCCCCACCCGGTTCTTTATTTTTCTCTCTCCACTCCCTACAGGGTGGAAACCCAGTTGCGGATTCTCAACCGTCTGATCCCAATTTCTCCTTGGTTAACGCTACTTCTCCTCCAATACGTCGTTTCTCATCGCCGATTTCACTCCATCTGATCCAGAAGAGCCCATCAAGGGTAACAACCCAGTTTTTTTTTTGTGTATATATATATATAATTTTTTTTTATTCACAAGAAGGAGCTTAGAGAATTTGCGGCGGCGAGAGGTGATGCACAGAGAGGAGGAAGGATGGTTGCTTCGATTCGACGAATATTCCGATCAGCACCCATAGTCTTATCTGAGCTCGAAGATTGATGTTGGCTTGGAGAGTTCACTGATCACGAATTTTGCATCATCATGCTTGCCGAATCCGTCGAACATATCGTCTTGTTCCCAATCAACACTCTCAAAATTTGGCGTGCCGTCAATTGAGTTTTCATGGTCATCTTCACCCCTCACTCTTCGGAGTTGACTAACCACCACCGCCCCTTAATTGGTATATCAGTTGGTGAGCACTGGTGTTGTTGGTGGCGACAGAGAAGGTTGTAGTAGCCACTTAGGGTTTCGGCTTTTGTTGTTGGCTACTTAGGGCTTCAATTGCAATGGCCACTTTGGTGTTTGAGGATTTGCGAATCGTTGATCAGAGATTCAGGTTGATCGATGATCATCTATTCAGGGTGTTTTGCATTGGTGGAAGTTTTCAATGGGTTGCAGGGAATAAAGGTTGAAGATGATGAATTACATGTTTTGGTGAGTATAGATTGGATTGAGATTTTTTTTTAGGTAATCAGGCTGTCCAATCGATTGTTGATAGAGGGGAGTGGCCGGCGTACTTTGGAGTGGTCATGTTTGGTGTTGCACATGTGGCTATGGTAGCCAGTGGTCATGTTCGGTGTTTGACATGGGGCGCCATAGTGATGGTGGTTGTGGAGGTGTGCTGCTAGTGGAGGTGGAAACCACCCTCTTCTTCTTCCCCTCTTGTCCCATTCTCTCTGTATATCTGTGTGTGTGTGTGTGTGTGTGTATATCTGATAGGTAGTTTGGTAAATTAAAATTAATGGGAAGGTTAAATCGGTAATTTTAACATTTGAATGGTCCACTTGACAAGTCAAAGGACATTTTAGTCATTTTATTATTGTCAGAGTGTTCATGGGTGCCTTTGTCAAACTCAGCAAATTTGAGGGGGTGTCATTGTTAAAAAAAGGGTTATCTTTCATCTGTCTGTTAATAGGGCAAACCTCAGGGGGTGTGAGTGAAATTAACCCTAAATTGTTTTATCAAAAGTGGAAAACAATAGAACTTGAAATCTCAAAATTAAGATGAAAGATCAAGTTGATCAACTTGAGATATTGGTACAAACGAAAAATTATAGTCAGTATCACTAAGGGTCTATTTGGTATGCGTTTTATTTTTATTTTTTATTTTTATTTTTATTTTAATTCGAAACAAAACAAGTGTTTTGTTGTATGGTATGTTGCGTAGTAATCGAAAGCATGTTTGATAATGTTTATTTGTTGCAATATTATATTTGGTAAAAAGTGTTGCAAGTTTAAAATTGAACATTTAAGGATTTTTTAATTTTTTTTAAAATTTTTTTTTTGACGTACAAATTATTATTATAGTATTTGTTGCTAACATGTAAAAATAACAAAATTAGTGTATCAACATTTGGCCACTATTCACGAAACGTTTCGATACTGTACAAAACGAAACATTTTTTATCAAACACATTTTTTCCACTATTTACTATTATAATACCTGATAAAAACAAAAACACCTAAAACAAAGTGCATACCAAAAAAACTCTAAGTTAAACAAATGTTAATAAACCCATTTATGATATCATTTCACCAACCAATAAAATTTGAGAGCTACTAAAATCAGTGTTGATAATAGAAGGATGAGATTATCAAGCAACTATGGTTAGGTTAGAGGACACCTCTAAGTATCATTTGTGTTCTTTATTTGGGCTTACATACCAGTGCCAATAAATTTTTTTTTTTTGTTCGGAAGTTCCAATGCCAATAAATTGTCAATATGGTACTTGTATTTCAAACAAATAAATACATTCACGTGTTTGGAATTATGTATTCGAATCTTACACCCTCTCTTCTTTTTAATTACTAACCCTAATATTCTTGTCATAAAAAAAATAATAATGATAAAATAAAATAAAATAACATGAAAACTAGAGGTCTAGTAATAGGTTTGGAGTCTTTGGACATTCTTCTATTATATAGGTCTAAAATTGACACAACAATCATGCATGGAACAAACAGGAGTCCAATCCTTGCTGGTACATGACAATATTGTGGGGTACGTTCAGCTGTGATCCAGAAAGTGGAATGGGCCACAGATTATGAAGAAATATCCAAAGAAAGATATTAGTAGGCTAGTACCAGAAGACCAACAACAATGACTTAATTATTGTCATAATATAATTATATATATATATATATATGTGTGTGTGTGTGTGTGTGTGTGACTTTGTCAGTGTCTGTGTGGAGAGCATCAAAATTCAAATTTCATTAAATCAGCTTACAATATTCAATAAACACTTTAAAATTTCATACAAAATTTGATAAAATCCAAGTTACCTTAAAATTTACTTGCTTAATGTACTAAAGTTTCGGGATGTGAAGGATGTTTCGGGATGCCCGTTTGAAATTGCTTCGATTTGCTTTGATATTCGCATGGACCTTTGGTCTTTTGCTGTTGCTTATTTGGAACATTTTCATCCTTTGGGCAATTGGGTCGCTCATGATATTGCTATGTTGTCTCGGGTTGCTTTCTGTGTTTCCGTCTCAAATTTCTACTTCTGCTAGTTTGGATGCCTTGGATCTGTCTTCGAAGTATCTTGGTTGTTTGAGGTGTCGATGGATGGTTTATTTTGGTTTTTGTTTTTGTTGTTGTGGTTGTCTTGTTTTGTTTTGTTTTGTTTTGTTTGTGTTTCTTTGCCGGGCCAAAAATAATAATAATAAAAAAAATTAAAAAATAAAAATAATAATGTACCAAGATGAGATTAGACAGACTTATTAATAAAATTATTAATAAAAAGTATCATTCCTTGATTTTCCCAATCAGCTCAACTTTGTTTTGCTTCCTTTCACATAAGCTAAAATTCAATTTCGTTCGGAGAACTATCCTGATAATTGTTCAATACATGTGAGATAGAAGACTGTATACGTTTATGTGTTCAGTACTGAATTACGTAGTGCTTTAAAATATTCGACGCCACCATATTTATAAAAATAAAATAAAATAAATTGTCTTCTCTTGGGTCCTACTATATAATCTTTCACATGAGCTGAATTTAATTTCGTAAGAAGAACTTTCCTGATAATTATTCGGTGCATGTGAGACAGAAAATTGTATATGTTAACGTGTTCAGTAGTGAATTATGGAGTGCTTAAAAATAAAATAAAATAAAATAAAATAAATTGACTTTTCTTCGGTCCTACTATATATTCTAAATTTGTTGTCCTTAGGGTATAGGAAAGTGAACCTTGCACGGTGATGTCCCACAACTACTGATCTTGTTTGGATGCATGCCACAATGGAATGGAAAAGACACAAAACACACCAGGGGAAGTTGCAGAATTTTTAATTCTCCAATTAAGCTGCCTACTATTATATATATGTTTTTGTTCTTATTGAAAATTGTGACAACTTATGTATATGTCAATGTTTGGGAACTGGTGCAAAGGAATCCAATAATAAGATTAACCCATTATTGACAATTATTTAATAGATTATCACCTCTCATAGTACAATTTAATATTATATATATATATATATACACAGACACACATATATCACCCACTAATTTTATTATATTTTTGCCGATTAAAAATGACAGAAAAGTGGTGAAATCAGTGCATGCAACAATATATATATATATATATATATATATATATGGATTTGAAAATTAGAGTTGTAACACATAACATCAAGTAGCATGGCAGCAACTAGTAGTCGCACTCCACTGTCCACAGTAAAAAACAATTACTTCTGATCTGAACTCTTATATCAACAGAACAGATTCTTTACATATAAATCAAACTTCTATATTCTTTTTTTCAAGCTTTCCCTTCGGAGTATTAATTCTAGCATAAGAAAGAGAACACCACCTTTTCTCAGTTGCCAAACACATGCAAGTTCCTACTTTAAATTGGACCATCCCCCAGTAGCAGTAGTAGTAGTAGAAAGGGACAATAGTGTCTTGGAGTACGTTCACCACCCATGCTATATCAAACTATAGAAAATGAAAAGTCTATATGAAATTAATTAATAATTAACCATGCACATATATAGCAAAGCTATATATATATATAGAACTAGGGCATATACAACTTGTTGCCACATTTGCACCTCCATGCCTCCGGGTAGTACTCGGCTGTGACCGGCGTTCCGGGAGGCACCGGCACGTGAACAGGCTTGCAGGGCGTGCACCTGCCGCACTTAGAAATGCACCGGGGCGGCGAGGATCCCAGCCCACCCAACAACCTCCTAGGTGTCCTAGCCAACCTCAACGACACCATCTCTTCACCATTCAGTTTCTCTGAAGACACTCTCTCGAAACATTCCTGTACCATAAAGTAAATTTTGTTTCAATTTCATTAACAAATAGACCTAAACTAAAGAGTACACAAAATTGTGAGGACATTGCTTCAAAATACTATGATCATGAGTTTGACTCATACCTACATTGATTCTAAGACCATGTCTGTGAGATGGGAGGACTGTATGTGTCCAAAAGGACTATTATGATACTCAAGAAAAACCCAATATCTCTAAATCGAAATACACGCGCACACACACACACACACACACACAATAAGTTATATATATACATGACTTAATCATGTGGAGTACTAGAGGACATGGTTTTTGGTTAACACATTTTGGTCAAGAAACAGAAGACTTGGAAGGAAGAGGACATGGACACGATTAAGGTGAGCTAACGTGCGCCGGTGGTGTTGTGTGGGCCTCGCAAGAGCCGAGACCGACCCTGCATGACAGTGTCCATGGACCACAAAATTGACAAGTATGAAGTACCCTACAGATTCCATGAATCGGACGGCCAAGAGAGGGAGGCAGAGGGCAGAGGTGGGGTACCGAGGCCAAGGAACAAAAATCTCTGTAACCTGCTTTGGCGCATTTTAGCAGTTAGTATGTTTAATTTGTTTGAAAAGAGTGTATGTCTGAGAGAGAGACTAATTATATCGATTACTACTACAATAATGCAAACTCTTATCTTCAATCAAACGGCTCAGAAGAGTCAGAACAAACGGTTGGACTAATTTTGTCCACAAATTGCCACCACTACTGCATAACTAATTATGTAACTCATTGTTGGAAGATCAAGATTACATAGATACATCGAAAAACAAAAAAGAAAACATTACATATGCATATATATATATACACACACACATGTATCTATATCTTATATGATTAAATTTATAATACAAATGAATAATCTCTTCTCTTCACAGATGAGACTCAGATATATATATTATGTGTGCAGCTGTGTTTGCTTGAACATTCTATATATATATATAGTATAAATTTACTAACCTGAAAGTAAAAATCTGCTTTAGTACCAGTTAAATGACACCTGGTATCTGCAAGAAAGAAAAGACCAGAGAGTGGTAGGAAATGATGGAGTAATATACATGAAATAGACAAAAATTTTGAAAGATAGATTTGGCATATACTATAGAAGAAAAGTGATATATAAATATATATATATTTGTATGTTTATGATGAGAAAAGTAATTAGCAATGGCATAAGAAAGTTATGATTTGCTTACCTAAACAGGGAGTTTTGGTGCTGAGAAATGCACAAACAGAGAAGAAGAAGAAGAAGAAGAAGAAAATGGCGGTGAAGTAAAAGAGAGGTGTTTTGTTGAAAAATCTCAATCTAATGCTACTCTTCAACTCCATGAATAAGAAGGAAGAAGAAGAAGAAGAAGAAGACAGAGATTGGTTTTGTTTGAAGATTGAATTAATAATGAAGAAGTAGTAGTAGTTGTAGACTAATGAATAGCACTTGGAGTGGTCTGATTTAATTCCCCCAGTCCCATGCAACAACTACTGTCACGCCCCAAATCAAACCCCTACAATTTAGAAAACTCCATATATATTCTCTCTCTCTAAAATTAAGTTTCTCTCTCTTTATTTGTTGGGACTCTGTAAAGTGGGAGTGGTTGAGAAGGTGTGGAGAAAAGGAGGGTGGAAGGTACGGCTAATCAGATTATGGGGTTGTGTGTGAGTGTGTTTGTGTGTGTGAGAGAGAGAGAGGGGGGGGGGGGGGGGGGGGGGGGGGTGTGGGGGTTGGAGATTGTTAGTATTGCAGATGGATGGAGTGGTGGTGGATCTGAGAGGTGTCTAAGGTGCAGATGGTGTCAATATCCTCTGCTTTACCATGTTTAGGCCTCAGATTCTCTTGCAGGCTTTCCCCACTGCCTTTTAACAATTCCCAAACTCAGTAACAGTCGCTCGCTAACCCACTCACACTTTTTGCATCTCTCTCTTCTCCTAAGCCCTGTATACTACTGATACACTATATATTTACGTCTCTCTATTATATATTTAGACCACTAATGCTCACATTGAATATTTACAGTAGCTTGTCCAATTGAATAATTTTTTTTATGAGTTATTTATGTTAAATATAAGTAAGTAGAGGACTCATTTTCTTATTTATTGCATAAATAATTAATTAAAAATAATAGGTGTAGCAATTCACTGCAAATAGACGATGCAAAAAATTATATATTTATAAGTGTTAGAAATATAAAATAGAGAAACTATATATTATATTGATGTATAAGATATGAAGATACATAAGAGTTTATATATATAGGTGTGGAGAGTAAGAAACCTAAATCCTTTTTGGTAAACCTATACATGGTTAGAATATATTCTACAATATAATAATAATATATTTTACAATATATTCTAACAGCCCCACTCAAAATTAAGGTGGATTAAATGAAACCATCTTGAGTTTGGAAATGAAATCTTGAAAGCGGCATGGCGGAAGCGATTTGGTGAAGATGGGTTTTTACCCATGATGAAGATGGAGACACGATTAACAGCTAACGTGACATGTGACGTGGCACTACTGCTAGCACCGCTGCTGACTGTGTCTGACATGACAACTGATGTGAAACTACTGTTGGCACCACTGCTGATGATGTCTAACATGGCAACTGTCGTGGCAGGTAACATGGCACAACTACTAGCACCGCTGCAAATTGTGTCTGTAGTTGCACCAATGTTGACATGTCAAGTGACGTAAGGTGGATCTGTGAAGATCTTGGAGGTAGGCGCAAAGCGTGAATAGGTTGACGTTGTCATCCCCGGTGGTAATTACTATAAACTGATGGGTGACGAATTTGTGAAGATTCACTACGTTGAAGACGCGTGTGAGCACACGATGAGTACCACTGATGGCGTGTGGTAGCGCGGTGACAGAGCTGATTTGACACGTTGAGGTGCGGGATTACCATTGGTGCTCGTGAAAGCGCATGGAAGAGTGGATTACCACTTGAAGCGCATGGTGGCGTGGTGATCGACGGAACTAATCCAATACGTTGAGCATCTCCTAACGTGACATCTCGTTAAACAACGAGACTTCCTTATACGGGACATCCTTAGGCGGGACTTCTCTAAACAAGGCAGCATCTCGTTGGATTTCCCCAAAGGAAGACTTATAATGTGGCTTCCCTGGACATGACATATGAAAGATCTCGGAGTGCGGAAGCGTGTTGGTTGACCGCCGCTGCCGAGGATAGGGCTAATGGTGCCATCTCTGGCGGTGACTATGATATATATTTTTTTTAAGAGAAACTGTATATTGTATTGATATTGATGTGTAAAATATGAAGATATATAAGGATTTAAATAGGTAACGAATACATGGTAAATCTATACATGATTGAAATATATTGTACAATTCAGTAATAATATATTCTAACAATAAGCAATGAAGCATAACATGAACAAAAAATGCTAAGAAAATGTAAACCATATTCCATGTATCAGGATTTCAGTATGTTATTTTATTATTATTATTATTTTCACACTGATTTTTGTCCTTAATTCTGGTTGATAGGGATAAAAATAATAAGCAACTCAAAGTCAAAAGAGAAATAAGATAAGGGTAAGGGATTTATCTTATCCAAAATCTTTATGGAATCATAAAAAATATCTGGTTACCATATGTAACCAGAGTTACCATTCCTGTAAGAAGGAAACGATATCATCTTGGATCAGGGAGAATCTCATTTCAACAACTACTTCCATTAATGTTTCTATAAAAGAGATGATGGGTCAACCTAAAAAGGTACGCCATAAATTTTATATGTAATCCTTATCGGATATTAGATCGTCAAGTACTAACTTGACCGTCGGAGTGTACCCGGCCGGCACCACGCCGGTCATCACTTCTCTTGTTTTGCAGGAATCGCTGCCGACTCCGGAGCGTGTAGATTTTTGGCATTAACAGTTGGCGCCGTCTGTGGGAACGTATATTAGTCCCAACAAATCATGGTTTGTACAAGTGAAATCTATGACAAAACTTAAAAGTAATTCAGTCTCTTTACAATCTAGCTTTCTCTAAAAAAAAGAGAACAGTTCATGGATTGCGTGGCTAAAAGCAAGGGTACAGTTGCTCAATCCGGTAAAATTGCTGGAAAGCCCCACCCTACCGCTTCATCATCGCTGTTAACTGGGTAAGTTTCATGCATTACGCGTATATCAAAATATATGTCTACACTTCCTCACATGATTTAAAGATAAACAATTTTTTATGTGTTTCTAATTGTTTGCAAAATATTGTTTACCTACATAATGATGTAGTTCACCCGGGAACCCTTCAATAGAATACTATGCTCTGCGGGTACTGTTCCCAAGAAAAAAAATAAAAATAAAATAAAATTGTGAGTACTGTTCACATGAATAGTACCCGCGAGTACTATTCACAGGGTTTTAAAAAAAAAAAATTATTATTTTGTGAGTATTATTCACATGATCAGTACTCACGGGAATAGTACCCGCGGATACTTTTCACAGGGTTTAAAAAAAAAAATTTCTTATTCTAGAGAATAATCGCTAGCTCCATGGATGATTTTGGTCCTATGATGCTCAATGATAAGTTTTTGCCTTAATTATACTAATTCTGATATATATATATATATATATATATATATATATATATATATATATATATTATCCGTTCAAACTGTACACATTAGTGCTTCTTGCGCATGAGAGGCAAGCTTGGGAATGGGGGCAGAAACTTAACCTCTCTTATTAAAGATACGAGCTCACGAAATTCTGGAAAATCAATCTTCCTTATTAAATAGATGAGCTCACACAACAATCGAAAATTAGTCTCTCTTATTAAAAAGATGAGATGACAAAACTTACAAGGATGAACCTCCCATATTAAAAGGATAGGGTCATGAAACTTGGAGAACCTACTCCCTTTTTAAAGGGCGAGTTGAATGAAGCTCGTAATTGCTATCCCCGTATTATAAGGGATTGATATAAAAGTGCCCCGTACTATAAGGGTCCGAGCTGAATGAAGCTCGTAATTGTTGTCCTTCGTATTAAATGGGGTCGAAACCAACTTGTAAAATATATCTCAATTTTTAAAGGGCGAGCTGAGTGAAACTCGTAAAATATATTTTCCTTTTTAAAGGGCGAGTTGAATGAAACTCGCAATTGCCATCCCCGTATTATAAGGGATTGATATAAAAGTGCCTCGTACTATAAGGGTCCAAGCTGAATGAAACTCGTAATTGTTGTCCTCCGTATTAAAAGGGGTCGAAATCAACTTGTAAAATATACCTCCTTTTTTAAAGGGTGAGCTGAGTGAAGCTCGTAAAATATATTTTCCTTTTTAAAGGGCGAGCTGAGTGAAGCTCGTAAAATATATTTTCCTTTTTAAAGGGCGAGTTAAATGAAGCTCGTAATTGCCATTCCCCATATTATAAGGGATTGATATAAAAGTGTCCCGTACTATAAGGGTCCGAGCTGAAAGAAACTTGTGATTGTTGTCCTTCGTATTAAAAAGGGTCGAAATCAAAAATCAACTTGTAAAATATATTTCCCTTTTTAAAGGGCAAACTGAGTGAAACTCGTAAATATACTTCCCTTTTTTAAAAGGTAAGTTCATTCAACTTAAGAAAGCCTACTCCCTCAGCTCATGAAGTTCGGGCAAATCTTAAGAGATCAACCAAAAAAAAAAAAGGTCGCCCAACAAGGGGTAACCTAAAAAGAGATTGATTTATGCTAAAAAGACGTCACTCAAAAAAACACTTTGACATTCTCGATACTTGACAAGCAAGCACAAGAATGGGGGGCAACTGATAGGTATAAAAATAATAACCAACTCAAAGTTAAAAGAGAAATAAAATAAGGGTAAGGGATTTATCTTACCCAAAATCTTTATGGAATCATAAAAAATATCTGGTTACCATATGTAACCAGAGTTACCATTCCTGTAAGAAGGAAACGATATCATCTTGGATCAAGGAGAATCTCGTTTCAACAACTACTATCATTAATGTTTCTATAAAAGAGATGATGGGTTAACCTAAAAAGGTACGCCATAAATTTTATATATAATCCTTATCGGATATTAGATCGTCAAGTACTAACTTGACTGTCGGAGTGCACCTGACTGGCACCACGCCGGTCATCACTTCTCTTATTTTGCAGAAATCGCCACCGACTCCGGAGCGTGTAGATTTTTGGCATTAACATTGGTTCCTAAGTAAATTCTGGAATGTTAAGCAAACATCATGTTGAATTTGATTGTAGATGTAATCTTTCTTTACCAATGAATTGTTTTAATATCTGAAGCCCGGACACTTTTATTCGTACTCGTGTTATATTCGTGTCCAATACTGATATTTCTCCGATATATGTGTCTGATATGTCCGTAAATAAAAATAAATTTGTATTGTTTTGGACAATTTTCAAACACTTTCGAACACTTTAGCCATGCTTCTTAGACACTTAAGACAATATTTTTCAAACATTTCTAACACAAACCTACTCGAAAATCTTACAAATAATATGAACATATTCTATAAAGTGTTCAACTTTTTTCTTTAAAAAAAATTGACATTATATATACATATGATCACAAACGAAATTTTAAATCACTCTTAGTATAAAAATAAAAAATGAATTAAATTTTTATAATATTATTACTCAATATATGTATACAAATAAAAATTTATATTCATATATAAATGTGTTCAAATCATACCCATGTCTTATCGTATTTGTATTCGTGCCCATACTG